TGTACCAAAAAAAATAGGTGTGTGTTGATAAGATGGTGATGCGGTCGCATTATCCGCCCACCAAGATTTTCAGTTAAATCGCCTCATCTCAACTGCTTTAAACACGAACCGAATCAACCTGCAAAACAATGACAGGGGCGTGTCCAAACATGATACTCTGATGCTCAAGTAGAAAAAATCATAGGCTCAATCTATATATATATAATTACTAGCTAATAGCATTTAATAAAACCTATTTAATTTTACCTATGTGGCAATTTAACCATTTTCCCTCAAAAAACCGTTACTTTTGATGAATTTAATCTTTCATTTAATTATTAATTAATCAACACTAATCACTTTAAAATTACAAAAATCATTTTAAACTTTTGATTACTGACAGTTGACCATAATAATGTGTTGACCGTATACTGTGATGAGATGTTATTATTGTGGTTACATTAAATTAATTTTTTTAAAATAAAAAACGTATTTGAAATTCCTAAATAAATAATAACTAATTCACAAAAAAAAAGATGTACCAAAATATACATTACATCCAATTAGATAAATGCAATTTAAAAAAAAAATATTCCAACTCCTTTAATTGTAAATTTGGCCAGCAAAAAGGTGAAAGAGAAATAATTAATCATTATATGCATACAAATCACTCACAATACTTTATTTACATTTGTGCAAGTGCACAGGGTCGAATACTAGTATATCATAATCAGGGAGCTTATTCATAGTGCAAGTCTAGAAAGAGAATCTGAATACCTTATTTATAAAAGATTTTAGGTCTTGTTCTCCAAGACGAGTGGGTTCCTTAATCACAAAGAATACAATCTTCCATATTCCAGGAGCAGATACACAAAAATCAACTTAATTATCTTTTAGTACTATTATATAAATCTCCACATATATTTCAACTAATCTTATATCTCTATGCTATAGATCTCGGCTCGAACTGGACTAACTCTATGTATGCTATATAATCCATTCCCCCACACTAGACGAGTTTGTTGAGCTAAGACTCGTCTAAGAATAGAATAAATTTTCTTCTTCAGGACCCAATTTTATAAACATTTTTCATGCCTAGTAACTTGCCAATGGTATGTGAATTGCAGTGCAATGACAAAATGTGCCAATCTCTAAGGTCGCTAAGAAGATAGAGGACATAGAGGTACTTCCTTATAATTGACGATAAGAAGCCTAGTATGTACAATGTAGTAAATGAGGTTTGATATTCGTTATTCTCGCAGGCATAGTTAGTAGAAATCAAAGTAACCCTAGATGGGGACATTGGTTTGTGGTAATAGTAAAGCATATAGTAAAGTATATTGTAAAAAGAATAAGGACAATAAGTTGGCTTACTAGATGAACCATATTCATCTTATGGTTACAACGATTCTAATTCCAAATGAAGCTGTGAATGAGTTTCACTCTTTGATGAATCAAAAGAATACATACCAAGTATACATGCTCGTTATTATATATGAGTTTAGAGTACAAGTGAAATGTGAGGTCTACTATATTTACATGGTCTATATGAAATGAACTTCTCATTTGTGGTCAACTCAGTAAACGCAAAGTGCACTAGCATAGTTCATTAGTTCAGACAAACTAATTCATATTATACTATAACCATTTAAGTAGTTTTTCCCATTTCTATCACGATTGTGAATCCTGTTTATATTTTACAAGAAAAAGATAACCCTTCATGTAACGGCATACACCATAAATTGTATAATATTTGACATGTTGTATACACGGAAATATAAATGCAAACACGTTCACTAAAACACAATTTGCATTCCAAATAGAAATAAGTTTGAACAAAACGAAGCTTTCAGTATACAACTGTCAATCTTCTACTCATACATACAGAAATAGCTTCCTAAGAAGATGATCAACGAGCGTTCTTCACCGAACGCAACATCATCTCCCTGTAATGTTTCGTATCAGGTGCTACTTGCGCTTTATCTGTTTACTTTCCTTATGGGCTCGTAGTTCGATTTTGCTACTGCACCACTTTTAATACTCAATTGGTTTAACTTGGGCAAACCAAGAATCACATTCAAGTTCATCAGTAAGTTCAGAGCCAAGCAACTTTCTTTGTCGACTCGTGGATATAAGCGGTGGACATATTAATATGTGCCCACTGTGGGTAGAGGAGTATTATCTAGGGGTGAGCGTGGGTCGGTACGGTTCGGAGATTGATAAATCTCCGGAACCGTACCAAAGTTCGGAGATCCCAAAATTCGATCTCCGGAACCGTACCAAAAAGTCGGTTCGGTCCGGTTCGAAGATTTTTATTTTTCGGTTCGGTTCGGTATTCGGGACTATTGGGACGGTACGGTTCGGGATGGTTTGGTTCGGATCTTCGGAGATTTCTTATTTTTTTAGATTTTTTTTAATGACTACCTAATTATATTTTAATTTTTAAATGGTTTAAAAAAACAACATTCATCAATAATTCACCATATTGAAGATTTTATTTTGAAATCAATTTTAGAAATAACTCTAAATTTTAGTTATTTAATTTTTATATGCTTTAATAAAACCAACATTCATCAATACTTCCTCATATTAAAAATTTTATTTTGAAATCAACTTTAGAAGTAACTCTAAATTTTAGATGAGACTAAATTTGTGCAACTAATATTTAAAATTTAAAATTCAAAGAAAATATAATATTTTTTTCTATAAAAATATTATTTAACCTTTCATATTATTTTAAATAATTATTTTATAATAGAAAAAATTCAATTGTAGATCAAGTATTACTAAACATGAAAGTTAAGAGTATGCTTGGATACAAAATTTATCCAAAAAAAATTCAAACATTTTTAACTCAACCACTTTTTTTAAACTCAACTTTAACTCAACATCACTATCAGTAATATTATTAATAATTAAATAATATCAACCAATCATTTATACACATCACATCAACCTTAATTCACTATTCATTCACTCACATATTTTTAACTAACTATCACTTCAAATCATCTCTCTCATACTTTTATATCAAATCAACTTTAATTATTATATTTTAAATATTATTTTAATATACCCACTAACAACTAACCATACCACTTTTTTCAAAATTAACCAAACCAAACAAAAAATCCAAACAAATCCAAAATTTTTTATATCCAAGCATCCCCTAAGTGAAGGTTAATAGTTATTATTACTATATTATAAAGGATCAAAGGTAACATAAAATATATTAATAACACATCTAATGTTATAATTCGGTTCTTAATTTCGGTTCGGTACGGTATGGGACAGTTCAGTTCGGTTCTCGGTACGGACATTTGTGAAATCTCCAGAACCGTACCAATTATTTTTTTTTGTTTGGTTCGGTTCGGAGAAAGTCAAACGGTCAACGGTTATTTTTCGGTTCGGAGTGATTTCGGTTCGCTTTTCAGAACGGTTCGGAATTCTCCGAGTCAGTATAATATTATCCACAAGTAACGAGAAGAGGCTGAATCCCCTAATTCTGGCGACTGAGAGTAGCTGAGAGAAAATGATTTTTGTCTTCTTGAGAAAAATAATGCTCGAGATTGAAGACTAGGACGGTCTCTCAACCTGTAAGCTATTCTCTTCATCCATTTTCGCTCACCCCTCTCGTCTCTCAAGCTCTTTCACATTTTCTTCTTTCATTAAAATTGATTTTGACCTATGCTGTAATTTGTGCAGAATCGACATTGCAATTGGTACTGAGGCTGCGTGGTGAAATTATTGAGCCTTCATTAATGGCTTTGGTAACTGAAAAGGTAGGAGAAGATACTTGTGTAGTTTTTCAAAGTCCATAGTGAATTTTGATTCCGGTTTTACTTACTCTTGTGTATTCTTAAACATGGTAGTTCAATTGCTTTAGTCGGTTTTGCTATGGAGCCATCCGATGGCTCGGTTTATGGAGCCGTCCATAGTTATTCACAAATGGTGTACGGACCTGCAATAAAATACACATTGGACATGTGTCTGGACGACTCCATAGAATTTCTGTTGCTGTAGTATGGAATTTTGGGTTTCAGTATTATGTTGTACATGAAAATTGTAGCCTCTTGTGATTTTACTTGAATTGTAGATCTCAAGCCTAGTTCACTTCATCTAGTCGACGAGACTTCGTCTTCAAGCATGGCGCCTAATCAATGTTCGATTAGTCTTCTTTATGAACAAGTTCTTTGGTGTTGTATATTGGGGAAGAGGTTGAAAAGAGTTTTTATTTACATTTATAATCTTTAAGTGAACTTATTTATGCAGCATTTGGGATTCAGAATTGGGAATACACAACTTGGGAAGTTGAGAGCCATTACGGTGAGGCTCATTAGACTGTATACATCGTTTGCGGTATGTTGTAAGCCTTATTTTGTATGCCAAAATGATCATCGGATGTGTAGTGTATGTCCTCCAAATCGTTCTGCTGTTTGTAATTTATTGTGCTTATCTCGTTTGGAAGCATAACAACAGATTGATTTGGTTACATTGTTTCTGATGTTATGCTCATCTGCATAATAACTAGGTATATGTTGAGATTCAATAATCATCTACCGTTGATTGCATTTGTGCGTTATTGTTGCTATCAGGATGGGGTTAAGTTTCGGCTGACTTGTTAAACTTTTCATTGTTGTTGAGGATGATAAAGAAGATCAAGTGAACGGTTATGATGTTCTTTCAAGTTCTCAAGGAGCTTCTCTTGCAAGCAGCCGGGTTAACTTTGCGCATTCCCCTCAAATGCTGATTAAACCGGGTAAAACAGGCGGAGATTGGTCAATCGAACTAACCATGTCTTAGTATTTTCGTACTGTTTGTTCTGCTTTCGTTTTCGTATTTTTCATTCTCATCAATTGAAATCGGTCGATTAATTCCTACATTTTCGAATTGAACAAAAGTTGGGAAGATGAGAGTGTATATACACCAAGACATGGAAGTTCTGTTATTGCAAATGCACGAAAATCTTCCCTTTCAAAACACCAACATCTCTTTACAAGCAACCTCACACAATGGTTATATCAACACCAAAAATCCCACCACTTGTGATCATCGGAATCAAGATTAGTCGCCTCCCAATCATCGGACGATGTCAGTGGACTCTCCACCAATTTCAACAGCTCCTCATCGTCCAGTTCGTCGGGCAGAATCACGAATTCTGTCCTAGTGCTGACATCATCACCATCCGAAAGCATGCCCACGAATAGTTGGCTAGAACTATTGTTGTTGGGCTCGGAATTCGTCTCCTTCTTACAATCCCACTCCCCATCACTGCTGCTGTTCCCATTACTTCTGTTTTCCGATTTCTCCATTTCATCCTTGAGATTCTGCAACTGCTTAAGCAGTGATTAAATCCCAGAAAATCAGTATCACTAAAACAACACAATATGCTTAATAATAAAGGGAGATGCTCGGGAACCATTCCGTCGGAGTTTGTAATCGTTAGATCAACTATCCCCGCCACTTACATGATGATTTAACGGTTACAAATCCTGACGGAATAGTTCTGTTCTGTTGTTCTGTACAGTTCAATATTAAGTCCCAAGTAAAAATGTTTTATTTATTTATATATATATAAATCAACTTGAAAACAACCTGTACAAGCAAGTGCTGCTTTTCTTCCTTCAAACGCTCAAATTTGGAGGCTAAATCGTTGTAACTAGCCAACAAGACGCTGTAGTCTTTCTGGATCTGCTTGGACTTCCAGCGAGCCCTTCTGTTCTGGAACCAAATGGCGACCTGTCTGGGCCGGAGGCCCAGCTCCTTCGCGAGCTGGGCCTTCTTCCCGGGCTCGAGCTTGGTCTCGGAGTCGAAGGTGACCTCCAGGGATCGGATTTGTTCGTCACTGAACCTCCGCTTGTTCTTGCTCTTTTTTCTTCTTGATGATGTCGTGTTTATGTCCGCAAAGCAACACTCTGAAGCGGATGAGTATTCGGACACATCCAACATTGTTTGTCCTTTGTTTTGGTTTTATAAGTTGGGAATTACTATGAGTGTGGTGAGTGTTTGGAGTTTTGTTTGGATTGGAATTGATGAGGTGAGGCAGTATTAATGTGGTGTCGAAGGTTGTGCTTTTGTGGTGTAATAATCTTCACTTTGAGGGTTTGGTAGCATGTTTATATACATTTTTTTTTTTTGGTACAGGGATCTTCCGATTTTCGGATCCACAGGGAAACCGACTAATTCAGAATCGAGCCGAGATATATACATCTTTTTTGTTTGGATGTGTGGAGTTACGTGTCGAGGTTTTCTTCTAATGCCTTGACAGCTTTATCCGTTGTTATTTAATTAATGGAAGACATATTGGTCCCACAACCATGAGAAGAATATCAATAATGCAATAGAAACACTCGATTGTTTGATGTGGTTGTGGAGGGTTGTTTAATGTTTATTTTTTTGTTAATCATGTCTAGCTAAACAGCCTTGGCACCCCTTTTTTGACATTTATTTTTATTTTTAAATAATATAAATAATTTTAAGTTTTATTTAACAAATTAGAATCAATTATAAAATAATAATAATAATAATAGTAAAGTTATATTAAAATTATATAACAACTGTAAATGCATCAAATTTTGCATAATTTTTATATTCAAACATATTAATTCATATATATTATCAAATGAATAACCCGCATTGCATTTGAGTATCATTTAATCTTAATTAGTTAATTTTATTCTACGTAATTCTGTACATATAATAAAACTTGAAATTTTTGTATCATCTTTTAACATCGGATGCTGAGAATGTATACGAATCTTTGGTACGTGTCACTTTCATTCCAACTCATGAATAAAAATAAAATAACAATGATAAATATAACAATTAAATATACCGTGAGAACAAGTGTATTGACAACTGTCGCCTTCAACAAATAGAATTGAGCCACATGTCCTTTAGTCAAAACCCCAAATTTGGGATCGGCCATATATTAATGACGTGGCGTCTGCTATGAGGTAGTCAACATCGGTTATGGGGGACACTTGTCTTTGTGAGCTCTGTGACTGTTATATTTTTATGCGAAAATCTTTGCTATTTAATGACATCTGTTTTTCGTCTTTACTTTTCTTTAATTATTTTTATATATAGTTTTCTATAACATTGTTGGATTTGTTATGGCGTAAGTAAGAAGCTAAACATAACGGAAATTAAAAGAAAAATAAATGAGCATTTCTCGAATAAAGATCTGCACCTTTTAAAATCACGTAAAAGTTACGAATTTTGGTTTGTACACTTTTGAAAATTACCTCTTAATTTTTGTGTGTATAGCGACGACGGAGAGAGAATCAATTCTTAGGTATGTGGCAATCACCGTCTTCGTTTGACTGGTTGTAGGGATCCACGTGTTTCTCCTTTAAGCAAGTGCACCTTTTGGACTACGACTCCAGGATCAATTTATTCGCTAGTGAAAATTATCCTCATCTTTAATTGGTATAAGAATGGATTATGAGAGGAAAGAAAATCTATTTACTTATTTATTTATTTTAGAAGCCGAAAGCTTCTCTGCTATCTCTCGCAAACGCTTAAAAAAATAAGCGAATCGCTATTCACCGCCCCCTTATTACTACGTGTCGCCCCTCAATTACCTTTTTGTCCTTAACTCTCTCTCTATCTCTCTCTCTCTCTCTCTCTCTCTCTCTCGGATTTTGTTGGGTTTATTGGGGTCCCTTCCTATGTGGAATAAAACTCAATTTGTGTTAACCTTTAATGACATTTTTTTACCACTATAAATAGTGGTAAGTCAACAGAAAATTAAAAGAGAGGTCAGTTTTTTTTTCCCGTGCAAAACAGAGTGTGAAAAAACAAAATTCCAGCAAGGGTTCCTATGTGCAGCAGTTCGGTTTCTTCTCTGATTCAGTGGGCAAACGTTGTCCGATCGTTCTGAAATTTTTACTGGAGAAAGAAGATTCGGTGGGCAACGTTGAGAGGCGAATTTCCTATTTGAAGTTGTATTGATGTTCTAGTGCCTTTCTAGCATTGTTGAGGGCTAGAAATCAATTTGGTACTTGTTGGATTGTGTATTCCTCTCACTACTTTGGCGATAGTGGATTTGTAGACCTTTGGGTCTCGTGGTTTTTACCTCTTTACATCAAAGGGGGTTTTCCACGTAAAAATCTTTGTGTCCTTGTGTTGATTTCCTCACAGTTGTTTCGTTGATGATGCTTTGATTTAATGTTGGAATTGGTATTTTATGCTCCTGCTATAGTCTTGCAAGCTAGGGAGGTTTATTTATTTTTCCGCTGTGCTAGCCATTTGAGATTGGTGGTTTGTGGTTTGTGATTATTATTTATTGATCCTCCCAACAGAGTGGTATCAGAGCGGAGGTTGGTGGCTATAGTTTGTTAGACTTATGGAGGTAAATACTACCAAGATGGTTTCTTTGAATGGCATGAACTATCATTCGTGGAAGAGCAAAATGCAAGATTTGTTGTTTGTTAAAAGTTTGCATCTACCCGTGTTTGGTTCCGGTAAGCCAGATTCTAAAAGTGATGAAGAATGGGCATTTGAGCACAAGCAGGTTTGTGGCTTCATCAGAATGTGGGTGGATGATAATGTTAGGAATCTTATTGCCAACGAAACAAATGCAAAAGATATTGCTCCTTAAAGATGTCAGATGATTTTGGTTAAACAAATGCAGGTGATTTTGGTTATTTGAGAATGGGCAACAATGGTATGGCCAAGGTTATTGGCAAGGGAGATATTTGCTTGATAATGACCAATGGCTCTACAGTGCTACTTAAAGATGTCAGATATGCTCCTGATGTTCGATTGAATTTATTTCCATTGGTAGACTTGATGATGATGGTTACGGTAACAGCATTGTTAACGAAAAATGGAAAATCAGCAAGGGTTCTCTAATTTTGACCAGGGGTACAAAGTTGAAGAAAAATTTGTATCTATTGCAAGCTTCAATTTTGGATGACTCGGTGAATATGGTGGAGAAACAATTCTCACCAGAATTGTGGCATAGAAGATTGAGTCATATTAGTGCCAAGGGGCTTGATGTTTTGGTGAAGAAGAAGGTTCTCTCTGGAGCTAAGGGTTCTAGCTTTGAGAGATGCTCTCATTCTCTTAAAGGAAAGCAGAATCGAGTATCCATCAAAACTAATCCTCCTCATAGACAACCAGATCTGTTGGATTTGGTTTATTCAGATGTCTGTGGTCTGTTGAAGGTGAAGACACTTGGGGGTGCATCTTATTTTGTGACTTCCATTGATGACATTCCAGGAAGCTATGGGTTTATGCCTTGAAGACTAAGGATCAGGTGTTTGAGAAATTCAAAGAATTTCAAGCTCTAGTTGAGAGGCGGACTGGAAGAAAGTTGAAGTGCATCCGGACAGACAATGGCGGTGAATACCGTGGGCTGTTTGAAGAGTATTGTAAGCAACAGGGGATCAGACACCAGAAAACGCCTCCCAAGTCACCTCAGTTGAATGGGTTGGCTGAACGTACGAATAGAACTTTGATGGATCGTGTCAGATTCATGTTGATGGAATCTAAGCTTCCACAATCCTTTTGGGGTGAGGCTTTATATACTGCTGCTTATGTTATTAATTTGACTCCTACTCTTGTTTTGCAAAGTGATGTGCCAGAGAATGTCTGGACTGGCAAAAGCACCTCTTATGATCACTTGAAGGTGTTTGGTTGTAAGGCTTATGTTCATGTTCCTAGAGATGAGAGGTCCAAGATAGATGCCAAGGCTAGATAGTGCATCTTTATTGGCTATGGCCAAGATGAGTTTGGTTACAAGTTGTATGATCCAGTTGAGAAGAAAGTCATACGTAGTCGTGATGTGGTGTTTTGTGAAAATCAAACCATTGAAGATATTGAGAAGGCAGAGAAGTCAGATTTTCCACCTCTCTATTGATGACCTCATCGATATTGATCCTGGTTCTACACCATATTTGCCTAGTACAGTTGGTGGTGATCGAAATTTGCAACATGAAGATTTTGCTGATGGTCAGCAAGATGATAATTCCCATAATCCACAAGAAGTTGAGCTTAGAAGGTCTACTAGAAGAACAATACCATCTACCAGGTATTCTAGTGATGAATATGTACTCTTGACTGATGGGGAGAACCAGAATGCTTTGAAGAAGCTATGGAATGTGTAGAAAAACAAGAATGGTTTCATGCAATGGAAGATGAGATGAAGTCCTTGCATGAGAATCATACTTTTGAGTTGGTGCCATTGCCTAAGGTCAAGAGAGCTTTGAAGAACAAGTGGGTCTATAGACTGAAGCAGGAAGAGAATACTTAAAAACCAAGATACAACGCAAGATTGGTTGTGAAGGGTTTCAGTCAAAAGAAAGGTGTTGATTTTGATGAGATTTTTTCACCTGCTGTGAGAATGTCTTCAATCCGTACTGTGTTGGGGTTGGCTGCAAGCCTTGACTTAGAGGTTGAGCAAACAGATGTGAAGACTGTATTTCTTCGTGGCGATTGGAGTGAAGAAATTTATATGGAGCAACCGGAGGGGTTTAGGGTGAAAGACAAAGAGGATTATATGTGCAAGTTGAGAAAGAGCTTGTATGGCCTAAAACAAGCTCCTAGACAGTGGTACAAGAAGTTTGAATCTGTGATGAAGCAACAGAGCTACAAGAAGATTACTTGTAACCATTGTGTGTTTGTTCAAAAATTCTCTCCTCATGATTTCGTCATTTTGTTGCTTTATGTTGATGATTTGCTTATTGCTGGTCAAAGTGCTTCTAGAATTGCAAGTTTGAAGCAAGAATTGAACAAGTCCTTTGATATGAAGGATTCGGGGCCAGCAAAGAAGATTCTTCGGATAAGCATTTCTCGAGAGAGGAAAGCAAAGAAGTTGTGGCTATCACAAGAAAAGTACATTGAGAAGGTACTTGAGTGTGAAGATTCTTAGGTTTTGAATGGAGAAGTCTAAGCCTGTTAGCACTCCTTTGGCAACATATATGAAACTGAGTGTGAAGGTG